AACAGTAAACTTCCAAGAAGCAAGGCTGCACGAAACACACCCGAAATTCCCACGCACCCCAAACGCAGCGGAGACATTACCACGCACCCCAAACGCAACTAGCGCCATACATACATACATACATACATACATACATACAGATTATACCTTTATCATATGATACATGACACATCATATGTACTATATCCAGTGACTCCCCTTCTTTGAAAGCAGTGCTCTGTAGCCATGCCTGCCCCTCCAACCCTGAGCTCAAGCCCTAAACTCCGTGAACCCTCAAACCTGAAATGGTGCTACGACCTTGACAACCCGGGAATAATGGATGAGATCCTTAGTGGGGTTGCTCTTCTGTAGGGTTCACCCTAAACCCTAGACCTCCACTTTTTCACACCCCTGAACCCCGGCAAGTGCTTAAGTGCCTGGCCTTTGGACATAGGAGTGCTTTCATCCTCGGCTTCCTCGCAGAAGTCCTGGCATGCAAAGAGAAAGGACTTCGGAAGATCGGGGCCCTCTGAGGACGCCAAAACAAAAAAATCACTGTAGCAGGATCCGAGTTCTCCGGACCCCACAGGTGAGGTCCCACTGAATGCCCAAGCGCCTGCAACCCAAAGCTTCTGAGGGCGACGGCAATCCGCAACCATGCCGGGTTGTATCCCTTGGGGCATCCCGTCTGTAATCCCAACCCTTCTACAATCACGGCACTGACACAAACAGTTCAAACATGCCGGCATCTAGAAACGCACGAATGAAGGCGATGCGCAACTCAAGGTATAAGGGTCGCGAAATCGCGACTGGTCGCAAGTGATCAGCATCAGTTGTTGCACCCGTGACAGGCGAGTTGAAAGACATGCCACTCACCCCGAGATCTTTGCGCAAGGAATGGTCCGAACCCTGTAGTTGAAGGGGCGCTACCAATACATCACTCTACTCTATCGAAAAGACTGGCTATACCAAGTTACCGGACAAAGAATCCTGCTCAGAGTCGCAAGCAATATTTTCCCCACAGACTGCCACGTGGCTCGCGCAGGCAGGTCTCCCAACACCCATACACTATCCGCTAGGCGGTGGTGTCAGTCGACAAACACTGACATGTTGCCCCTGTGATTAACCTTGCTCGCCGTCGATCTTCGGAATCAGCTGCCGATGATGGACGCACTCTCTGATTCGGTCTCGGTGTCACTCACTGGTTCGGTCGTTGAGTCTTCGTCTCTGATGTCCATGTCCACCTTCCCCAACTTCGAGAAAGGATTGCAACTCCCTTCTGCAGCTGGGCTCTTGCCATCATGTCCCAGGCTTTTGGGGGCATCGCAGAGTGCAAGCTGAGATCGCTTCCTCCTGCTCTCGTACTCAGCAAACTCATCAAAGGTTGCCCACGACAACGAGGGTTGAAGCTTTAGCGAGCCAGCAGACATAGCCCCAGGAACCGAAGAGAGCAAATGGCCAGGCCAGTCGCTAGAACAGTCCTTGCAAATCATGTCCATTTCACCATGCCATGACTCGGCAACGAAGCTTTCAGCCCTGCTTTGAAAGCCACCACATCGAGCACAAAGGATGGATCTCTGACTCTCGGAGTTCCAGAAGAGTGCGTCTTTCGGCTCTGGGCTCGCAGACTCGGATCCCTCCACGACTTTGCGAATGCCTTCAAAAGAGACCCTCAAGAGGCTGCAGGTACGATTGAGAGGCTGAGGCTGAGCGCTCAAGATTGAGGGCCTTGGAAGTTTTGAGCATTCCGCCAGAGCCTGCAACAGGCGTGCGGACATCGGCATTCCATCCTCCTCCTCCTCCACCTCCTCCTCCTGCTCCTCGTCTTCCTGCCTCTCCTCTTGCTCCTCCTCTTCCTCCTCTTGATTGTCCTCCTCTTCCTCCTGTTGATTGTCCTCCTTTTCCTCCTCTTGATTGTCCTGCTCTTCCTCCTGGAAGAGCGGTGCAGGTTCCGGGTAGATTTTCAGCCAACCCACACTGCCCCGGCCTGGCTTCGTGGAGACAAGGTGTCTCGGCTGCTCCTCTGCGCACCCACTGCAGAGGAGGTCCCGTTGGCCTTTGGGATTCTGGGCCACGGACACGTCTCTCTCACGGCAGCGACCGCCACAACAACCGCAAGTGACTTCGCTCAAATCAGTTTGCGACCAGAAAAGCTCCACCTTCTCGGCTTCATCCAGCGACTGCACCGTCAGCATGCGAGGCCTCCAGAGCCAGCAGATCTTTGCACTCTTGCTCGGGGACAGGGCAACGCCCGTGCGCCGCCTCAAGATTCCTTTCGGTGGTGGCTGTGGCTGGTGTGTGGCAGAGCCGCGTGCGGTTGGCTCTGGAGGGCGTGCAAGGCGTTCTTTCAAATACGCCGGCTTCATGGCGCTGTAGCTCGCTGAGCTGGCTGGCTCTAGGCAATGCTTGCAATTGCCAAAAACCATGTGGGCATCAAAATCTAAAGTGCTGACGAGCTTGCTGCATCGCACCTCGACTCCTTTCAAAGCTCGAACACATGTACATATCGAACAGTCGCTTCTTGCCTCAATGCGCGGTGCAGAACTTGAATACACTTACAGAGTACACTCTGACGTGTCTTGTCTATGGTAGCCTGCAGCCGCAAAAGCGGAGCGCATGGGCTGCGAATGCAAAGCTGAGTACCTGTTTGAGGTGGCATGCTTGATGGCCGGAAGCCGATGCTGCACGGTCAGCCTTGTCTACATACTACACGACGGACTGACTAGTTGAAAGTTTCTGAACAATTCAGCGCAGCGCGACCTCATCCTCGCTGTAAGCCTCGTCTCCGGATTCCGCAGCCTTGCCGACATGACATCAACAAACGAAGTGCGCAGTGAGTACTCAGTAAATGGCAACATCGATCGCAGTGGCCTGTCGCAGCGCACAGACGAGTGGTATCATGCTTAGCGTCTCTCTTCGCCTCTCTCTATCGCTGCCCTATGTCTTAGTTTCCACTCAGGACTGTTTCACGTTTACAGCATCACTCGTAGACTTCCGCTTTAGACAGCCAACTGCCAGGAAGCAGGATCCGCCCAAACAGGGCTCCGATCAAAATCTAATTAACCTGATTAAACCCCCGACAGATGTCTATTAGACCGAAACCTGAAAGAGTCACCTAGCCTTGAAGATCCCGAATATCGAATCATGTTCACACGTGCGCAGCCCCGCAGCCCAAGAGGCTGTTTGGGCTTAGAGCCAAGGGTTTCTCAAGCTTTTGGCTTTAGGCTTTAGCTTGTTCCTTGGGAATTTGTGGCTTACAATCATTAGGGGTTGACATTTCGGCACCGAGCCATGCGTCTTGCCTGCTGGAAATAAGGCTATGCTTGACGGCGGAACCAGAGCCGGCATTGCGTAGGGTCTTGACAATCGCCCAACATGTCTTTTTGTTGGAGAGTTGAGCCCGGAAGTGGCCCGGAGGTCTAAGTCGAGGATTCGTGGGCCAAAACCTCCAAACAGCAACACCAACGTCTTGTCTTGATGTGCTGCCCGCGTCAGGGCTGGTTTCAAGCCTTAGGATGAGGATTTCAATTTCTAACTGCAGGGACGAACATTGCTCGTCCTCATGCGGGTCTCCTACAGAACCTCTGGAAAGATATCACTGCTATCGGACCTACAATGGCAAGGACCCTCTGCCCGGTCATGTCCCTGCGCTCGGAACTTCGGAATATCCAGACCCACAATACATTCCTTACCCCGTCGTGTCGTTTTTCCTTTCCGATCTTCGCAACGAAGAGGCTTTTCGGTGCAGCCTCTGGCATGTACGATCCGAGGTGATGACGGTGAAGCCACGCAGAGGATCGGAAAAGCAAATATACTTCAATCAGGACAATGGAAGAGACCCCGCAACATCTTCACGAATAACAACGATCACCAGGAAGCCTCGGACACAAAGGCGCCAAGGGGTAGCGTCTCCACCATGGAACACCAGCCCCAAAGCTAGGATCCCATATTTTACGCGCCACGCAACTAACTAGCGTTCAAATGCTTCTTCGGAGTTAGTGAAGGGTTTCTGCGGCAAATATCTTCGTAACAGGACACGCCAACAGCAGAGATGCTTCCTTCATCCAAAGCGCAGACCTTCATCACGAAGCCAGAACCCAGCTTTCAGGTTTTGGCTCACGTATAAGACTACGTCCTACAAGCTTGGCGCATACCAGAGACACAATATACACGCAAATGGAAAAGTACGTGTGAGGAAGACGTGCCTGTTCATATAATGTACATGTGTACAGCATGTCGGTTCCTATCCTGTCTGTCAAATCATAACATATCTTGTGCATTTTCGACATACAGCTGGCAAAGGACCTGATGGAGACTCTCCTGCACGCTCGCGCCAGGCACGCGAGCTGAGCGGGTCGAAAATGGCAAGAATCCAAACAATTTCTTGCAGATAAGATATCGACATATGAGGCTGCCCTAATCCCCCCCTTTTTGAACCCAGACTCTGCTGATCAGCTGGGAAAACCCTAAACCCCAAACCCTAAGCCCCTAAACCCTCTCTCTGTCGCCACTCCCCGGCTCCCAGACTGTGATCTCTACTCTAAGACCGGGCCCAAGCCGCACCCTCCGCGGTACTATGGTTCTTTCACTCCCTCTAGGACTTTATGCTCCAGGTACCCCCTGTGCTACTTGATTCTAGGGTCCCTGACCTTCTCGGTCAACCAGCAGATGCTCAAAGCTCTCCTCCAAATCCCGAAGCCCAACACTGCCTTCACCAAATGAGTCCGATGCGAAGTCATTACTGGAGGCATCTGCAGCACACTTTCAGCCCTCGTTGGCAATACAAGAGACTGTGGGGGAGGTGCATACACGGCGGGAAGGAGAAACACAAACGGAAGTAAATGTGCAATGCTGTGGCGATGTGACCGGGGGCGGGGCGTACTGTGAATCTATAGCAGCAACGAAGAACCTCGAAGAACGGGAAAGACATCACGACATCATAATCCATCACCATGACCGAAAGCATCGTGAATGCTACGCTGCTACAGGGTTCTTAGGGCAGCACAGCTCATGGGCACAGTGCCTCCACAAAGCAGAGCCTACAGGCGGGGTGGTTGTCAGCCCCACACCTGAAGTTCTTGCTGAAAGCATCTGGGCTTGCTATGGTGGCACAAGATGCATCAAGTTGCGAACCTAGGCTCAAGGTGTTCATAGATTATAGTCAATTATAGTCTATCATGTTATAATATGCTATTCCAAAGTATATTATAGCCTATCATATTGAATTATGATATTTTTCGGTATGTTATAGTAATTATAGTATGCTAAACGGTGGCCCTGTCAGCTCACTTCGCGAAGTTGCTGCGGATGCGGCCAAGGATGTAGTCCCCGGCGGTCCTTGGCGCAGCACTCCGGGGTTTAGGGAAATTTTGTGTTTAAACCTTTAGAAGGGGAATCCTGACCAGAAGGACCTCTAGACTCTAAACTCTGAGTGCGGTGCCCCAAAACAATTTGAGAGCCTCCAATATGGCCTCTCGTTTCCTGCCGTTTCAACGTTGCCTGCTTGCCTCAGCAGAAGGTATTCGCCTTGGCTAGGTTTGTTCCCACATGTAAATACACACACAGATATATATATATATATGTATATATGCATGAATG